CAGTACATGTCTGTAAGAACTTATCAAAGTTTGATGATTTGTGGAAAGATTTATTAATATTTTCTGGAAGATTTTATGACTTGGAAAATATACCTCTCAAGAACATTTCTTGCTGTTTCCATTTGTGTTGAAGTTAGTAAATCAAATATACTGTGGAAATGTTTGGCGTTTAAAAATTCTTTGCATATGTAACTGATGATCTGATATTAAAAATTGCATATATTTTATTTCAAAAAATTCAACTATTCAGAAAGAATTTTAATATTTAGGAATATTTATAAAGAAAGTTATTGTGAGAAATTATTAAAGTGAAGGATCCTTAAAGAACACACCACAATTTGAATATTAAAGTATAGATGCTATATAAACATGATTAAGAATCTTACCAAATTCTTTCTTTAAGGATATGTTTTTCAAGAGTCAAGGTAAAATTACTAAATTGTTTATGTGAGCAAGGAGTAAACCCTAATTATATACTAATAAAAAAAAACTATACATGAAACTTCCTAAACAATCTAAACAATGTTTAAAAAACACCATTAAGTTTTGATTGTGTACATTTTGTTTAAAACTTTTATGTTAAATTGAAGTGGTTTTCATTGTAGCTCCCAATTTCCAGTATTTCATGGAAAAGACAACTTTATATAAATGCAACCATGATAGAACACGTGGCAATGGTGTTTTATTATATGTAGTTTCCCTTTTGAAGTTTCAGTTGCTTCTGGGTTATAAATATATCCATTTGACTTTATATCTTAAAATAGGCAGAAAAATGATACTAACTGTAGTATCAATAATAAAACATATGAAATTAAAAATGTTGATAGTTACATTAGAACTAATTTGTATTAATAAATATATTGTTATTGCTAGAATATTTACTATTTAAAAGAGCATTTACTTGCTCATTTATGACAAGGACTAGAATGGTGTGATATGTGAAACATAACAGTGAGGAGAATAAGGTATCAAAGTGGACATTTTCCCCAAATGAATTATTATTATCAATATTAGTCTTAGGGAAGATATAGATTCAGAATGAATTAATTTTATTATAGATTTTGAGAGGTTATAAGAAGTTTCTTTCCAGCACAATCAAAATATTATCGTAGCAATTCAGGTTGTCAGTAAAAGCTTAAACAAATTTGCTGATAATCCTGTTAATGACCTAGGTCAAGTGTTAACTGTTGTGGGTTATAAAATAGTGAAATTAAGGTTTCTCCTACCTCCGGGCAAATAACACAGTTATAACTGTTGGGGAGGAGGTAGGGGAGAGCTATTAGGAGAGCTATTAAATTACAAAAATGTGTAATGCATTCAATTATTTAGTCTAGCATGATGAAATGCTATTAAAAGCAAATGTAAACCCTCTTCCAAAAGAAAAAAAAAAAACACCTATAAAGATGATATGATAGCTTAGTTCTCTATTAACGTTTCAATCACAATATATTATTATCTGAGGATATGTTTATATATGAAAACTGATGCCAATTCATAGTAATTTTTAAAAAGAGAAATTTCCATTATTTAAATGTTTATTTTCTTTAACATTTGCCTAATATTCAATCAAAGAGAAGCATACAGTGTTTATCTGCAAGTCTTACTTTAAGCTTTAATAATCACATAGTCTCCTTTAGTATTTATATAGAATATTTATGTTTAGTGAAATACATTTCATAGAAATGGTATCCCAGGCCCTCCAATAAAGGTCTTCCCAAATGAGTAGTATATAAATATGCAGATCTAATTTTATTCACTTTCATCTTGAAAACTCTCATTTCCAATATAAAGAGTTCTATGGATAAATGTTAACCTAACTTATAAACACTTTTGGAGAGAAAAGTGATTTACTCTCTCATGTACTGATGATTAAGCCATGCATTCTGCCTCAGATTCCTTCAAATATGTGTTTAAAGAGAGTACTTGATTCAATGCTAAAAGAGAGCAAACAAATAATGGTCAATGCTTAGCTTTATATCTGGTTCTATCCTCCTTTCAAAGTTATTTTTATTGTCATCATCAGCCTGGGATGGGAAATGGGACCAAATATATAAACTTTTCTAATCCTACATACTTTAACAATCCTGTTTTGTCATGAAAAGTAGCTGATGTCCCATTGGAAATCTTTGCTTGGTGTGTCATGTAAACAAAGAAACATGATAAGATTTTAATAAAATTCTATGCAGCTTTTATAAAGTTTCTGCTTATGTATATAGGTCAATTCTTGATTTGTGATTGTTGAAATTATGAACGACCTAGTATCACTGAGGAGGCCAACAATAGAAAGTATCACCTGGAATCATTTTCTTAAGAGCACATTAGAAAGTTATTTGTAGCTGGATTAATAAAAGGAAAGTTCAGATTAAACTTTTTGTAAGTTTTTTTTCCTTATCATGAACCCAAGTATTTCAATATTGATATTTGACTATCAAAATGTCAAATTTAAAAAATAAAGTCACACAATGGCAAGTTTCCTAGCAATTAACTCAATGGGCTGGTTTTGTTCTCTTATATTTCTATTATGCCTAACTTCATAATAGATTGCTGAATAATTTTCTAGTAAATTTTACTAGTAAATTTCTAATAAATTTCCTACAGTATTGAAATATAATTTTAGCATAGTATTTTAAATGCAACCTAGTATTTTATATTTCAGTTTTCAAAATTTATATTAGAAATCTATATTAGGAAGATTCATGTTATCATTAGTCTTCCTACCCACTCAGTGTATGACTTTTTAGAAGGATGGCTTTCTGTTCAAATGATATTGTTAGAAGAATCACATGGAATCCCTCACACATACTTGGATGTTTCACTTTTCACGTTGTTCATCTCAATTACTAAGACCTAAGGTGTTTTATTAATATTTAAACCCTCCCTCAAATATTACCCAAGTTAAATAATTCCATTTAAATTTTGTTTCAAAGCTTTCCTTTCTGACCTCAAAACAGAAAGAAGACACCACCCACAGGACACAATCTGGAAAGAATAATCCCATGAACAATGGATAGATAAACTTTTACCCAAGCAAATTAAATGTAATTACATCAGTTTTCTGAGTATATTTACCCTTCTATATACATATTGTTAATGCATGCCTGCCTATATAATATACATCATATACCCTGACATACACAAGGTATGGCTTAAAAGCAATTTGCATTTAATTTTTCTAGTTCTGTTAAATTAATATTCATTACTTTTGCATAAGTGTAAATAACTTTAAAGGGCATTTTTTCTCTTGCACATTATTTTCTGAAAGGTTATATTTTCCACAAAATTGCTGACTCTCAGCTATAGCCCTGGGCTTTGTTAATTCAGCAAATTCCATTATCTTAATAGTTTATAAATAGTTCATTTTGAGAAATACATTTTCATAGTAATATAGGGATAATATTACTATTTTTCTAGTTGTTGACAATATTTTAATATCTTCAAAGAAAAAAATTAACGCTAATTTTAACCTATTGGCATGTTATTCATTAATAAATGAGTACTCTTGTCTTTCATTCATGAAGAATGATTGACAATTACTTTCAAATAAACATTGATTTTAAAAGAAAAAGGTCACTTATAGGTAAGATGATTTTCTTTATCCTTACATTTAGAATTTTAAGTTCTCAATGCAAAAAGACACAGAGAAATCTAATGAAATCTGCCAAAATGATAAAGGCAGTCACTAAGGAAAGAATGCAATTAAACTGCTCTATTAGCAGTGAAAGTAGGTCACTAAATATGAGAGATAGTTTCTATATTTAATGAAAAACTTTCAAAATATTTTGAATTTTTAAAAAATAATAGTGCACACAATGTATAAAATAATGGCTTACATATACATATATTTTAGTGTGTGACATAAATAATGTAGCATATGCACATAAGCTGCTCAATATTGCTAAAGTATGAAATAAATTGCTAAATGCTATAAGTTAAAATAATTAATAGGAAATCAAAGTTGTAAGTGTTGCTTTGGAGCAATCAATTATTCAGAGAAGTTTGTCTTGAGTTACTGACTGTATTCACAAATCATTAGAAATAGATCACAAAATGTATGAAGGAGTAAGGCAACGCATCTGTCAAGTACACAATCTTATAATATTAGTGTCCTTAATATTATACGTTTGCACGTTAATTTATTGAAAAGAGACAAGAGCCCATTAAGAGGAAAATAACCCAACATCAAGGAAATGGCATTTGCTGCATATGAACGTTTCTTCTTAATTTGCTATTCAGTTATTTACTGTACCTACCCAGGATCTTTTTACTATTCATTAAATACATTCTCTTATTCGTATATAAGCCCTTAAACAAAGAAAATCCAACCTAAGCTTGTTATATTATAATTCCTGCAAATATCACTTATGTTAATGTTGCATATGCTGCTCATTAGAACCTGTACCACAGAACAAACCATCGTCTGGTGGGATACACATCATTTCGATACAGCAGTTGCAATATAAACATCACACACACCACACACACACACACACACACACACACACACACACACACACCCTCTGCTTCTACAAACTCTGATTTCCTTTCAGTCCATTCATAAATGCCATGATCCTAAGTAGGAAAACCTGTCATTACGGTAAGACATACTAAAAAATCTAGAGTGGTGGGATGAATTTTCTTTTAAAGTTCTCAGAGTACTGCATGGTCATAATTAGAAAATAAAATACTATCATGGCTATTTAGCAAGTAATATGCTGGGCTGAAAAACTAGATATTTTTTCTTTCTGCTTAAAATTGTCAAACAGGGTAGCTGCTTGCATTGGTATCAGATTAAAAACACATTTTAGGTTTCGTCAATCCAAAATCATCTCAAAGTGTTTTAGAAGATAGCTGGAAATGAAAACACATCTTTAGTTTACTCTCAGAGCAAACGGCTATATTCGAAGGCACCTTAACGACCTGAAAATGTTTCGGTAAGAACGTGCTTTGAGGAGCACTAACCCGGCGGGGCAGGGCAGGGCGCGTCGCGGTACCTGGCTTACCTTCATTGGAAGGCTGGAGAATCAGTTCCCCGAAGCAGCTGAGAACAGAGCTGCTGAGAAGGAGGAGGATGGAGAGTTGACAATCCATGTTGCTGGTGCAGAGGGCAGTGAGAGGAGCATATCTCCATGAAGCATGCCACTGATGTGAGGGGGAGCGCTCTGATTGCTGGAGAAGTTACCATGCTCCGCTCGCAGGCTGATGTCAAGTTTGACACTGGAGATAAGGAGGAGTCTGGCTGCCTTTCCGCGAACCTCGCTCGGGGACTTCCCTGGGTCCTAGTGCCGTCGAAACCGAGAGCTGAAGGACCGGACTGAACGCGGTAGCTAGCAAAACCGCTCGGACTCCTAGAGCTGGGGAAGGAGCGGGTGAGGTCGTGGCCCGTCCTGCCCACAGGGCAGAAAATGTAGAAGTTGTGATGGGGCAGTGGTGGAAGGAGTGAAAAGACACCCTGTCTTTATGTTCAATGGAAGGCAGCTATTTTATTGTTTGCAGTGCATGCTCTGTAAGGTCAATTCCCTGAAGAAACCAAAAGCCCTATAGCAGTGTCACATGGCAATATGAGTGGAAAAGAAACCGAAACTTTTGTTATGAAAAGAATGAACCTGTCATTGAAAAATCAATGACGATTGTGTAATTCAAAGGGAAGTTAGGATTATGTCTTCACTATGTTTTTGTGATCCTAACTCTTCATGAGTCCTGTGTGGTGCACAAGAACACTAATGCACACCTCAGATTAGGAAGTCTTTTCAGTTTTACACAAACGCCACCAGGGCTTTTACATAGATTTGGCACAGTAATTTCAGTGCACGTACGGTGCGCTTTGTCTTTCCAAACTGGGAAGTCACCATTATCCTAAGGAAGTGGAGTGAACAAACCCAGCCCCAGGAATAGGTGCAGCTCAGCATTCATCTTTTGTTCTGTGCTGTGGGTATAAACAAGAGTAATACAAACCAAACCTAAAGTTCTTGGCAACATATGGCTACCCCCTCCCTCACCATCTACATTAGGATCTCTGGTATCTGTGAGATAAACATTGAGTATTTCACAGCTCCTCATGCAGCTTTCAGACACTTCCAATCTGATAATAGTTGGAAACTGTTCTCCGTAAACATTCCCAATCCAATGGTTAAATCATAGCGTCCTTGCACTTTCTCACTTACTTGGCATCATGGTTAAGTAATGGCTTCTCCTGTTCCCAGTTCCCCTGATGAACAACATGGTTACAATCTATTTCAGCAAAATAATTTTGCAGTTCATAGTTTGAAAACTATTTTCACTTGTCTTTAAAGCATCCCCCAAAAGATGATTACTCAAATAGCTCCCAGTCATCTATCATTTCTTATTCTAAACAAAAAACAAGACTTACATTCCTTGAATAACTCCAAAAAATGTAAAGGTAAGTAAACAACTTCCAGATCTGTGATCAGTTTTAGAGCTCTTAAGTTGTGGACTAAAATAAGGGTTTGAAAATTTCTCCCTAACGATGTCTTTATTTCACAAACGCTGTGTTTGTAACGAAAGGCCATATTTTCACATGAATTTAAATTCGTGGCATCTGATAACAGTTTGTTGACTGGATGGGGGTTGGGAGGGAGGGTAGAGGAAGCCAGAGGAAAAGAGTGACTCTGCTCACTTTTCTATGTGGGCCTTGTTTCTTGGTATCTCTAACTTCTTCCCACATTATGTCACTGGAGGCTGTAGAACCCCCCTTCGCTTGCCAAGTCTGTCAGAACTGAGAACACTGACAGATACTGAACAGAGGATTCAGATAGTGGTGACTCTGGCATTTTTAAAAATTCCAACACAGCTGTAGTCTTTCCATAAGGCCCAGTCCATTGTTCTAAGGTTAGATAAAATTTTTCTGAAACTTGAAAGAAAATATCTTATTTAGGAGTGACAATTTAAAAATATTTTAGAAAAACATGTACTGGTTTTCCCTTTTCATACTGAAGCTGCTTGTCACCATGAAAAGAAACATTTATGTTTGAAAGAAGCTGTAAAAGTGTGAAAATTAGTAAAAAGCAATTTCTGGCCTGGGAATAGAACACAAACAATATAGGATCTCTCAACTATGAACTCTCTAAATCAAGACACATCAGACAATATCAAGAGTTTCCATAATCCGAGAAACATTCTGGGTATGTGTGAAAAAGAGTGATACCAAGAAACAAAAGGGAGCGAAGAATTAGGCCGAAATAGGAGTAGGAGTAGGAAGGGCAGAGGTGAGAGCTGATGATTCAGAGAAGGCCTCATCAAGAAAGTAAAAACTGAGTTGTAGCTGGCAGGGTGAGTAGGGATTCACTACTAGATGGATTCTTATTTAATTTTTTTTATTGCTTTAGGTTTACTTCAAAAATAGCCTCAAATCTCACCATCCTCCCTTTGATTTTCCCTTTCCCCATCAGAGTGGTTCTGTTCTGGGACTCAAATAGCTAAATTGCTGGAGAACGGTTCAGAAGGCACTATAGGTATGCAGATGGAACACAAACAAAATCCTAATAATTTCCAAGTGAGGGGAATATTAGCATCTGGCATAAATAGAGCACAGAGTGTGTGTGATACAAAAAGGGCCAGGATACAAGGGGATGAGCCATGGGGACAGAAGGCTAGGAGATGTTCTTCAAAGGGCAGAACTGGAAACTGTAGAAATTTCTAGGCCACATGACAGTGATTTTACAATATATTCCAGATGAAAGAGAGACATCAAAAGCATTTCAGCAAGTAATAACTTGATCAATTATAAGTTTTATGAAGAAATTTTACTGATAACACAGAGCAGAGTGCCTCCACCTGTGGTATATGGACCACCTGCCACTGAGGTACCTGGGATACCTATAAAAAGTGCATATGCCTTCTGCCCACCACACTTACTAAATCTGAATCTCTGAGGTTGGGACCCAGAAAACCTGCAACATTGACAAGCTGCTCAGGTGACATGTGGTCTCAGACATTTCAGAACCACTGCTGATGGGGAAGGAGGGAAAAATCAAAGGGAGGATGGTGAGATTTGAGGCTATTTTTGAAGTAAAACTAAAGCAATAAAAAAAATTAAATAAGAATCCATCTAGTAGAAAGAAGGAAAGTGCAAAATGAAATTAAGATACATGTTTGAGGTAAAACAAGCAATATTCTCCAAAATAATTGGGTTTGGTGTTGAAGAAGAGGGAGATGTCTAAGACATTGGTGATATTTAGTTCATATAATAGTTTAGTTCAACAGAATGTGTGTTGAATATATGCCAGATGATGTGCTAGACACTGAGGGTAAAAATATGAATAAGACCTCCTCATTCCTGCCCTTGAAAATAATTTAGAGTCTCATGGAGAAATTATGGCAACTGTTAAAGAGTGGTATGTGTAGAGTATTTCATAGTACAGGCAAGAGGGTAGCTAACTTAAGTTAGGGGTTACAGGATACTTCTTGTAGTAGATGACAACTCAGTGGTACCTAGAAAGATGTCTTTGAATAAAAGAGTTCTGAGAAGATAAAATAAACATGAAAAGCATGCTTTCTGGAGGACAAGTGCCTCTATTACTAAAGCATCAATTTTGATGTGGTGTCAGGTGGTATGGGTAAGAGGTGACACAAGGAAGATGCACAGTGACGAATAATTCCATGAGCACGTCTAAAGAGCTTGGACTTCAGGGTGATATGGGGTATAAGAGAGACGCTCCATTTCCATTTTTAAAAAGATCATTTTGACGTAATTAAGGGGAGGGGATAAAATGGAAGCAAGAACATCAATTAGGAACCAAGACACCAATTCGGGTCCTTTTGCAATAGGATAGCCAATATGACATAGAGGCACAAGTGGTGGTCTTGAATCAGAGCGACCTAGGTGGCTTCCCTTGCTCTGGTACTCTGTACAATTATAACAATAACAGATCCTATCTCATACGGATATTATAAGGATTATATGAGATTTGGTATAGTACAGATAAAGTGTAAGCCTATATTAAAGTATTCAATACATTTTATCTTGATCTAGAAGAGAGATCTAGAGGTTACAAAACTGAGCAGTGACAGTATAACTACAAATCAGACAAATAGAAGTCTGGGGAATTGGCAAAACTTTAGAATAGCTTGATTATGAAAATGAAGGTGGTGGATATATCTAGGAGGCCTTTCAATTTCTAGTTTGAGCAAAGAGGTAGTCAAAAATGCAAGAGATGTTTGAGGAGAGAGAATGGGCATGAGATACAAAAATTTTTGCTTTAGCATATCTAGTTGATGTAACCTGGGGGAAAGACAAGGCAGATGAACTCTTAGGACACAAAAGTCTTGACTGGAGTTGTTTCTTTGGAAATATTTTTCTTTGCAAATAATTAGTATATAAAAAAAATAAGTAGGTTCACTCACATAAGCAAAGTGTAGGCTGAAAGATCAGTGGTCAATAGAGAAGAGCAAAGTACTAGAAGAGATTAGCGTAATAGAAGCCAAACAGTTCATAGTCAATAGTACCTGCAGGAAAAATGCCCAATAAGATATTGACTATAAGTGACAATTCTATATGACAACTGAAGTTTTTGATGACTTTGATGAGAACAGTTTTAGTGGAGTATTTGAACTGCAAGTAGAATTAAGATAATGGAGTAAATGGAAAGTAAGGAAAGTAATGGAATTAGATACAGTAAATATACTACTCTTTCAAGAAGGTAAGCTTAGAGAAGAAGGCAAGCTTAGAGACAGAGAAAGCAAGGTGTAATGAGAACATTAAAATATGAGAGAGGCTTATAAGATTTCTCTTGCATGTGCTTTGCTGACGAATGATGTAATCAAAGGACAAGGAATTTAGTGAATTAAATCTGGGATGTGGAGAAAAGGTGGGAAAATAATGACTTCTATTGAGGACATGCTGAGATGCAAGTGCATATATTCAAGTGTGTTAGATTTTATATCTAACTATAAAATGAGAAGCCAAGAAGGGAAGGCATATTACAAACTGCAACTTAAGCAATATTTAGAAAATTGATAACAGTTTAATTCATTGGAGTAGATAAAATTAAACATAAAGATCAGAAATAGTAAGAGGAATATCAATTCTGTTAAATAAAATATTCAAAATGCAGGCAGAGGATGCATTAGTA